TTTTTTTTTTTTTTTCTTTTTTTGACCACCCTGCATCGGGGACATAGACTCCACCCCGACGGCCTGCAGTCAGTCTTTGTCTGTTGCTGGCCCCGGCCTGTATCCGGTCAGCAACTTGGATCTTCTGGACTGAATGCAATGCGTTTCATTTAATGATGAACCTGCACCCAATTTAATAACTAAAGTGACAGTTTACATCAGCAATAACTGAGTTTATATAATAAAATGGGAGATGGGAGCAACAATTCCTCATTTGAAATGATGTCAGATCCTTATTTACAAGCACAGTTCAATTCAATTCAATTCCATTTTATTTGTATAGCACAGTTTACAACACGTGCTATCACACAGCACTTAACAAAGTGAGGTATAGACCTCACAACTTTAAACAGAGAACCCGACAATCCAAAGTAGCCTTTGGACTTCCTCTGAGCAACGGTGGGAAGGAACCAAACCCCCCCCAAGGGTGGGGAAAAAACCTCCGGCAGAACCAGACTCAGGGAAGACGGCCATCTGCCTCGACCGGTTGGGTGAGAGTGGGGATGGGGGGGGAAAGGATAGCAGATGGAGAGCAAGCAATAGAACAGAACAGTAAATATGAATAGAAATTTTTGGGGGGTCGGTGAGGCCAGTGGCTGGAGGTCAGGGACGCGAAGCTCCGCATCCAGAGACGTCCACCAGGAGAAGAAGCAGAGGACAGGACCTCGAGGGAAACACAGAGTTAGTGCCATGTAATGGTTATAACTGTATGGAAGGAAGAGAGAGGAGAGGAGAGGAGAGGAGAGGAGAGGAGATCAGTACATCACACACAAAAGTTATGTTGTGCATTTTCTATAATCAATATTTGAACGCATCCTGGTAGTGTTGGAATTGAATCTATATCCAGACAGAAATGTGTATTATTAATTGTCTTATTTTTTTTAATTATTTTTTTTCCTTTTTTCTTTTAGTAATAGTTAAATTTCTAAAATGTTTTGTATTGTGACACTGAATTGGATGAACTAACTCTCAATAACAATTTCTGGAGTTCATTCCAATAATCCAATAATGGTGGACCTGCTCCTAACTTTACAATTAAACTGAGTTTACATCAGTGCAGGCTGAGGTTATAAAACAAAATGTGAGATGCACGCAATCCATGAATCAATTGGAGACATGGAAATATATTTTCAGTGTCGGCTGAGGGCAGGGCAGGCCTGTAGCTCCTCCAGAGTGGCTCGCTGTGCTGGGTCTCTGGCCAGACACATGTCTAATAACATCTTGCAGTCTGAAAAGCAGGACAGAAAGAGGAGGTTAAAGGTTTAAGGGGCAGTTTTGGCAATCCATCAAAAAATAAATCTGATGAACGTATTTACTTCCACCAGAAGAAGATAAAAAACCGTGTGAGTGTGTCTTACCTGCGGACAGCTTACGGCTAATGTCAGCACCCTTGTACATGATGGTCGGGGTTGAAAAACGTCCCTGTCCATTAAGCATGGAATGGAAAAGACCACCCAGCTGCCAGACAGTGGTTGGACCGCAACAGTACATCCCATTTAAAAACCACTCTGGAGGGGCGAATGCAGGGGTACCTGGTCCACACAGCGACAGAGGAATGGAAGGAGGCACACAGAGATGGAGGGAATAAGAAGAAACAAGATGAGGAGAAGCTTTGTTTGTTAACATGACCACTGACAGATGAAGGAAGAGCAGAAGCCAGATATCATACCACTGTAGGAGCAATGACTGGACTCAGTGGAGAAGGTGCCACAGCCCAAGTTGATAACACGCACTCTTGGTACCCAACCGCTGAATTCAAGCAGGACATTCTGCAGCGTCATGTCCCCGTGAAAGACGCCTTTGCAGCGCATGTCCATGGCTGCGTCTACCAGCTGCCTCAGGATCATCTGACATAGAGACACACAGAGACACAGCTGGAATCTCAACCTCAGAGTGAACAAATGTAACGTTTCAGCTGTGGTATGAACTAACTCAACCATCCAACACAACAACACTCCAGCGTCATGGTTTGTACCTTTGCCTCACGCTCCTCCAGGCATCCTTTGTCCTGCAGGTACTTGTGGAGGTCACAGGTGTGGACTGGCCTTTCCATGACCAGTATGAGCTTCCCGTCCAGAAGGAACCAGTCCAAAAGGGACACTACAGTGGACCGTCCCACGGATCCTGGTC